CAGGGACCTTTTGATACCTTTAAACTATGATAAAAATTACGTAATAGGTACTATATACCACAAGTACTAATTTACTTCATTTTATTTTACCAGGGAAAAACCCAACAGCCTCTAGTGGCTAGCATGTACGGCAACAGAGTTAGAGGTCATGAGTTCGTCTCCCGGTTCAGGCCAAGTAACGTTATTGCGTTTTTCGGTAAAAAAATCAAAATAGTAGCAAAATGTTGGGGATTTGGCGTGAGCCTCTGCGTTTCGTAGAGTACGTAGAGATCTCGGCCCCTCTCCTGATATCTCACCAATTATGTCGAATTGTCATAAATATATGTATCATAGACTTAGTATATACTACGACAGTATATACTAAGTCTATGATATATATTATACTAGCATTGCCCGCGGCTCCGCCCGCGTTCAGATGCCCAATTACCAAATTCTTAGGTTTTACATATTAGTATAGTCTTACAATGCAGTTTTTGTATTTTTTTCTCAGAAATGAGATATTTTCCCGCGATAAAAAGTATCCTATATATTGACCCGGATAACCAGCTATCACCATACTAAATTTCATCAAAATCTCTTCAGGGGTTTTTCTGAGATGCGGTAACAGAAAGACAGACAAAAATTCTAGTAACTATAGATTCGGCCTCTGTATCGATAATAATGTTCATTTCAATAAGATTTTCCAAAAAATATTTAATGTACAGATTCGGCTTAGTTACAATTTTATTATATGTATAGATTTCTTTTCCATAACCTGCAAGAGCCTTTTATTTTTCGTTATAAAATATTTAGGTTGCTAGCTCGATTATTTAGACACAATCATACTGACTTTTATCAAAATACTTATGTACATCTAATTCAATACTGTAATTTCAACAATGAAATGGAATTTTCATACAACTCTTATCCACTATCTCAAGGAAAATATTTAAGTTGTCAAGATAAACTGTATTATAACAAATATAGAATTTACTATTAAGTAAGAAACGTAATGTTTAAATTATTTTATTGATTAAATTCCAAATAAACAAAAAAAAAACCACTGTAAAAACTTTTTCTTGCAACCTTCTTAAACTTGTATAGTGTATCTTTGTATAAAGAAGTAATCAAGTAGATCTATCTATATGTAAATCCATAAATTTTTAATTGTTTGTTATATATATATATATATATATATATATATATATAATGTTTACATACGATCAAGACCTAGATCTAGACTTATGCAATGGTAAACGTTTAACGTAACTAAAACGAAAAGAGACAAAATATAGAAACACTTTTTTCCATGATCTCGGAGATAACAACTGATTTTATAGTAAAATATAATTGTATTTAGCTCTTTTTAACGTCCCACTGCTGGGGGTGGGCCTCCCTTCAGTACGAGGGGGATCAGGCAATAGTCCACTACGCTGGCCAAGTGCGGGTTCGTGGACTTCACGAAGCTTTCGAAAACTTGCTAGATTCTTTCAGACATGCAGGTTTCCTCACGATGTTTTCTTTCACCGTTAAGACAAGTGATAATCATGTTGGAAATGATTCACACATGATAATATCAGAGGTGCGATACTCGGGATTTGAACCCGCTTCGCTCGATTTCACAAGCGAGCGCGTTACTGCTGAGCTATCACTGCCTATAAAATATGCCTATAATATAAGATAAAAATACTATAAAATTAGGTATTATATTTTACATTTATGAAGCAATTACGTGCTACATCGTGAACAACCATTTTTATTGTAGAGGGTACTTGAGGATAAGGGGGTAAAGTCCATTATAGTGCAAAGTGCATAACAACACTTACATGTAATATGATCTATATTTATAATAACAGCGTCCTTTATATTTATGCACACAAGTTGTTTCTTTAGATTAGTATAATATTTTATTAACCGACATCTTCAAAAAGGAGGTGGTACCTCAATTCCTCGGAATCTTTTTTTTTAATGTATGTTCACCGATTACTCGAAGACGACTGAACCGATTTGAACAATTCGTTTTTTTTGTTTCAAAGGGAATACTTTCCAGGTGATCCTATTTAAATTTTATCGAAATCAGTCGAGCGATTTTTAAAAAACCAACAATAAATTATTTTCAAATAAATGGCTTACTTGAACTTAAATTATTAAAAAAAGTTCTTCTTACAAATTATCTGCTTATTACATCTATACTAAAAATAAAAACTAACAACTTAAAAAAAAAGATTTCCAGGCACTAAAAATGTAAAAAATAACTACACAGGGCTTATCATTTTGAATATATGAATTTATACCTAAATAGATATATTCGAAGTAGGTGCCATCCGATGCAAATTAAGGCACACGGTTTTCATTTTTTTTTAGTGTTATTTGTGATCGATGATTTTAAAAAAGGCGGTACTCAATTCGAGTGCGGGTATTTTGAATTTCGTGATATTTTAGCCATATGTAAATATTTCGATTGAACTTCATGATTATGTAAACTGAATAGTGGGATAAAAATAAAAACATTGATCTCGCAGTATATTCATCAATTAAAATAATTATTTAAATATCAGTTTCAAATATTTAATTATTATTTTATATTTTACTAGCTCCGCTTCGGTTCGTACCTTGGTACGTTTTAGTATAGATTTCTCAGAGATGAGATATTTTCCCGCATTAAAAAGTATCCTAAATGTTGACCCCGCTAACCAGCTATTATCATACCAAATTTTATCAAAATCTATTCAGTAGTCTTCTCGTGATGCGTTCCCAGAGAGACAGACAGACAGATAAAAAAACTTAAAACTATAGATTCGGCCTCTGTATCGATAATAATGACTGTTACAATAAGCTTTTCCAAAAAAAAAATAATGTACAGATTCGACTCAGTTAGAATTTTATTATATGTAGGTATAGATTTTATCTTACTCTAAAGAGGTTTTCATTTAACAAAACCTTTTAACGTTAATAAGTTACCAACAAGTGAGTTTTATAAAGCCTCACGCACCAGGAAATTACTTAAACAACACGAATGCTATATTTATTTAATAACCAAGACTTAAATTGTTTATTTTAAACAATAACTTCTTATTAAAGACAGGAGAATGAATCTTTAAAAAGAACTTTGTACATCGAACAGTTATTACATAGTAATTATTTGCTCTGCCAAGCAAACGACAAACCACTAATAATTTAAACTAAAGTTTACTTGTTTGCACTAGTTCTCGCCTGTCACTTCGCTCGCGTGTTACGAATATGAAATGTTCATTATGTCACTGTACAAACAGACGTGGCATTTGATTTTTTTTGTTATGTCATTGACAAAGCTGTCTTCTACGAGTATGTACAATTGATTAATCAAAAATACTTATTAAATATGTACTTAAGAATTTTTATAAAACAATTTTAAAACTTATTATATTTGAAAGCTTATCAAGAAAGCTCCCGAAAAGATAGTTTTATTTGAAATGTCAGCTTTTAGAGTAAATCTAAAAAAAAACCTTAGGAAAAATAAAGCTTTAATTGGAAAATATATTTTTTACTTAAATATATGCTTATTATAAATTAATTAAATAAAAATAAAGATTATCTCGTACACTTTGTGTATGTATTTTAGTAATTTTTTCGGACCTTTACCTGACGGTTCAACGTCTTTTATCTTAGTTATTATGTAGAATTTTTTGCACAGAATTCGGATATAAAGGTCGAAAATATCGTGATTATTGTTTACAGCTTGTACATTGTCTGGGAAATTTTATATTTTTTTACATAATTAGCGCCTCGTAAACTCTTTTACAACGCCTTAGATGCTTCACGTTATGAGCACAGATAATAACAACACATTACAAATTTTAAAATATTCGTTATTTACCTATTTCATTGACAAGCACGTAAAAACTATTGTAATCTTTATTTAATATTACATATGAAGCAAGAAATCTAAGACAATCTATCTTTGTGCCAAGTTTTATGTGAATCCGTACAGCGCTTCACGTTTGAGCGAGTAACAAAAAAGTTTGGATAAACATACTATTATATACTATATTTACTACATTATATACTATATTATATATATATATATATATATATATATATAATATATATATATATATATATATATATATATTTAGTATCAATTTTATACTATTTTGTTTAAAAGTTTTAAGTAAATGTGATATGAAGGCCAGTAACAAGTTGCAAATCACAACCAATATATGAGTACATATACATAAACAGGTTCAACAAATACAAGTTCGCTATTTTTAGTTAAACGTTATTAAAAAAAAACACGTTGAATTGCGCAAATGACACCTTTACTTTGATTATTGTACATGAATATTATACTTTTCTTGGTGTTGAACTAAAAAACTAATATGGAAATGAAAATAGTTGGTCTGAATATTATGAAATATTCGTAAGTCAAAACTTTAAAAAAATGTTCTTCGAACTATCGACTATACTCAAAAAGCATGGCTTGAATTTCACCTGTAATAATTGTTATAATAATATAATTATATTCTTTATTGCACTTAAAATATGATACAGAAAAAAATAACACAAATAAACATAGTTCACAAAGGTGGACTTATCTCTAAAAGAGATCTCTTCCAGTCAACCCTTGGATGTGAAAGAAGCTGTCAGCGGGCAATATACTCGTAGTGCAAAAAAATATACTAAATATATACTAGAAATAAAGGTAATAATAATAACATATACATACATACATACATATATATATATATATATACTTAATATAATTATATATATTGCATATAGTTCAAATATTTATGAAATAAAATTAACATTATAACACTGACTATAAATTTAAATGATACCGGCTTATAACGAAGGTGTTTCACAAATCAAAGTGCGGTTATATAACTATGTACATTACGATATAAGTTGAAAGTTACAACGGATAGAACCAACTGCTTCTATCACCACACCGGATTCTTTCAACAGTATTATAACTTCACTAAACTATCACAAATTTGAGCAGATTGCAGTCTCACAAAGCTCTACGCGGCTTAATATCACCTCTCCTCCATAGCTTTCGCACATGTTTGACAATTGACGTGCGGTCGGAAGTTGTTGTTGCTATTTTTACGGCGTACCGCGTGATTTCTCTCTCTCGAAGGAAACTTTTGGATTTTGCGATCTGTGTTGACTTCTTCTTTTCCACCTTTAATGATACGGCGGTATATTTCCGTCCATTCCAGTTGTTTTAGTGTTAAACACATTTTATATTATCTGTGATAGAACTCACGACTGCCCGACGCCGACACACGATTGACAATGACGAATAAACTAAGTAATGCGCTTGCGACCTCTCGATCAAGGCTATTATTGTAACCGACTCTAAAGATGGTTGTCAATTTACTGATTATGTAAATATTTGTATAAATATTTTGTAAACACTCAAGATGAGGTTTCTAGTGACTTTTTTATGTATAACTTTAAAATTGTGTAATGAATTTATAAATAAGAGATCCTGAGATATTTCTATTAAATTTTTAAAATTATTTAGTTATTTTAGGATATAATTATTGTCTGATTATTTTAAAGTAACTTTTAGTAGTTTTTTCGTGAAGGAGTAACAAACATACATCCATATATCTTCACAAACTTTTGGGTTTATAATCGTTTCACAACTATACCTTCGAGACATCTAACACCGCATTCTCTCCCGTGACCATGATTGCTGTAAACCATTCGAAAGTTCGGGAACCAAATATCAAAATAAATCCGCGAAATAATCCGAAAAGATAGTTTAATTTAAAATATCAAATATACGCGTAAATCTAAGAAAGTATTATCCAAAGAAAATGTATAGGTACATACGTAATATTCTAAATTTAATATTATTGAATCGCACTAAAATTTTCGTTGCAATGGTCACGTTTAAAATAACAATGAAAGTTAGATAAGTTATCAATGACCCGGATGGAGACCCTGTGCCCGATAACGCCTAATAGGTTGTTTGTTTGCTCCATGTGTTTGTTGCGCTTGTTAACCTAATGATAGCATCCATTACGTGCAATTGTCTAAACAATGTTCGGGATGTTCACTTCAGTTCGCTTTATGGCTGGAAACTTGATGTACCAAATGAATACTTTATAATATACTAGCATTTCCCGCGGCTCCGCCCGCGTTCAGATGACCAAAAACCAAATTCTTAGGTTTACATATTAGTATAGGTACTCTTACAATGCAGTTTTTGTATTTGTTCTGAGAAATGAGATCTTTCCGCTGTAAAAAGTATACTATATGTTGACCCGGATAACCAGCTATCATCATACCAAATTTCATCAAAATCTGTCCAGTGGTTTTCTCGTGATGTGGTAACAGACACAGAGACAGACAAAAATTCTAAAAAACTATAGATTCGGACTCTGTATCGATAATAATGTCCATTTCAATTAGTTTCCAAAAAAAAAATGTACAGATTCGACTTAGTTAGAATTTTATTATCGATATAGATTTTATATGTTTTTGTATGGTTTTTGTTTTTTTTATTTTACTTATATGTTTTTTATATGAGAGACTTTTATATGTTGAGTTTGCTATTTGATAATACTTTTTACATTTACTGTCTTTGAGTAAAATAAAATAATGAGAATGTAATTCCTTCGAATATTTTCTCTTTATTATAGAAGTGGTAATTCTTCGATTCCACCTGATTACACGTTTCGCTCATTCGATTTGTACTTTGTAGCGATCCTACGTGCTGTGCCAGCGGTCGCGGCTACGAGTCCTGCTGGGGCCATTCTTTTGTGTGGTGAACACAAATGTTTGTACTCCAGCCATGGGTGTTTATATTTATAATATGTATGTATTTAAAGTAGTATATGTGTAGTGTATCAACTATCTGGTATCCATAACACAAACCTCGTAGCTTACCATGGAACTAGATGGTGCTGTGTGTTAATGTCCCAACATATATATTTTTATTTTGACCTAAACCATTATATATTATATTGCACATATTCATAATATTACATTGTAGTAATTTGTATCTGGTTCAGATATAAATATTATTAATAGGTATATAGTCATCAGGTAGGTATCAGTGTTATTGAATATACTATATTTTGTTGTTTTCATTGTGTTTCACAACAAAGGTGCGAGAGAAAGCTAAAAGTAATTGCATGACTCACCTCCAAGGGTGTGATATGAAACCGGGACAAAGCTCCGGACAGTTGTCACACGGCCTGCCTTCCGACACCTCCTTTATCCGAACGCCCTGCAATTAAAAATACAGTAAGAATGGCATCTAAAAACATTTATTGAAGTAGTTATTTAAACTGATTGGTACATTTCATAGTTCTAGGTAAAAAAAATCTCCATTTCCCAATATTTTTTGCTAAAAATGGTATATTGAGACAAGAGTAAGGTAATTTAGTTGATTAGCTAGCATTTATATATTAAAATACATTAAGAAAGACAATAAGTAATCAAAAATGAACGAACTATTAGGCTGGAGCGATTTTATTTATTTTATTTATTTTCAGTTTCCCCTTAAGTGATGATTTCCGGGATAAAAAGTATCCTATGTCCTTTCTAGGGTCTCAAACTATCTTCTTACCAAATTTCATCTAAATCGGTTCAGTAGATCCAGAGATTACCCCCTACAACGTCACAAACTCACATATTTACAAACTCACAAACTTTACCTCTTTATAATATTATTATAGATTATACTAGTATTTAAAGCGAAAGAGCATGATTGTTTGTGTGTTTGACCGATTGAATCTCTGCAACTACCATTCAGATTGAGAAAATATCTTTTTTTCCAGTTGGTTGTCTATTTATTTAATTCCATATAAAGTATTAACTAAGTAATACTTATATGGTATACCTACATAATATAATGATAATAGCCATTTACCAATAATTTATTCAAAGCATCGATAGTGCTTATTCCCCCAAATTTCTCTGTCATATCCCAAATGATATCGTTTTTCTCGTCTTTTGTGTCATCGTCGGAATCACATTCGCTATAACTGTCCGAGGTGTCACTGTCACGTCTGTTCCCAAAAAGCTTAAATATTCCCTTCTTTTCAACCCACGATTCGCTCACACCTTCCTTAAAGCTATTGACTTTTCTGTGTTTCCTATGAATTTTGAAAGGTACTTGTTTAAGCCGTGGTTGAATTCGATCAATCGACTTCAAAACTACACATCTCTTATAGTTTTGCTCGTAGTCTTCTTCCGAGACCCCACAATGATATAAAAGATAATCTTTTCTGATTTGTTCCCTTCCGTCCAAATCCCTCCAGAAGGTTTCGGTTTCTTTATTATTACATACACCTAGATAGTAATCTAGGTCTCTTTCACCTAAATCTGAATCTTCCTCGATATCTTCTTCATCTTTGTTCACTTTATCAGTATTATTTTGATATTCCCTCACTATTCTATCTAAAAAGCTATATTTTCTGGCGTTTGATTTTTTCAAAAAAATGGCTGTATTACTAGATAAAAATTTGGTTGTCTTTCTATACACTGACGCCACGGATTCGCGTCTTCGTTTCAAATTGTACATGTTACTCTTAAGATACTTGAACGCAAGTATTTTCTTAAGAAATCTATATATTTTAAACTTCCAGTTCATATCTATTTTTAAACATTTCGATTATCCCTTTCATAAGTTGTTGGAAATGAAGCCGCTTAATAGCTAAGTTAAAAGAACGATGATATTTTTTCCACTGCGCTTCTATTTTGCCCGATCAAAAGCAAGTGTATAGAGTAGGGTAGTTTCGCGAAACAGAGACGGCGGGGAACTAGACCACGCGTTTAGTGCTACTATTCCATTGCGAGGGTGACGATTGACGTGATAATGGTCACCTGTGGGCGTACTAGGTTTTTTGTACACCAGTATATCGAGATCTCCAATCATGTTGTTTTCCCTTCGTAATTATTTCCAATAAAGATAGAGCAAAGGCTCTTCTTAAGCTGGTAGCTGTAGTAGGGAGGGTGTGGACTCTTTACGATCATGCAAACAACAGCTAAATGTGTCCATAGTAAATGACTCGGCAAATTGCAACACCCTTGGACAAAATTGCTTGTTAAATCTCCTTGTTAGCTATTTTGTTTGGGGTCATTAGCTTTATGTCTAAGAATAAATTAGTCATAACGTTTAAACATGAAAACAATGACCAGATAATTAGTGTTATTAATAGGAGATAGGTACATGAAGAAGTTTTGTTAAGGAGCTGCCATCTGTTTAATGACATATGTACTAAATGTACTAAAAGATTTATATTAAAAATTATGGTGTCTAGCGCCATCTATGTGCGAGTAGCAGCACAAATAAACTTATGTGTGAACCGTCGGGTGACGAAGATATGAACCATTATAATATATCATATTGTATCGTATAAGTCAATTTAATATTTTTTATTTGGTAAATTTTTATCATTCATGAACGAGAAGAATTAATGTAATAAATAGAAATTTGTTTTGGCCTTTTTTTATATTTGAATAAAAAAAAATTAACAAATAAACAAAGAAATAACTTTTATAAACAGAATAATCTAAACAATATTTTAAATTACTATAAGAACAAAGTTTATTCAGAAATTTGATCTATAGTCTTGACTGAGCTTTCTGTTAGACAGCACGTAGTATATTGCACGATATGATTTTACTTATTTACATTCAGTTTCGTTAAAACTAAAATGAAATATTGTGGATCAGAAAAATGTGACATATACTTATCTATACTAATATTATAAAGAGGTAAAGTTTGTGATCTTGTGAGTTTGTGAATTTGTGACGTTGTAGGGGGTAAACTCTGGATCTACGGAACCGATTTAGATAAAATTTGGTTAGAAGATAGTTTGAGACCCTGGGAAGAACATATATGATATATATGATATATATGATGATGGATACTTTTTATTCCGGAAATCATTCTTTATGGGTGTGAAAATGGGGATGAAAGTTTGTATGAGGAATCAAGCTACAATAAAGATAAAAAAATCACAGCTACATAAATAAAGAGATCAAAAAAAAGCACGGACAATATATCTGTGGTGTTACATACACATTACAAAAAAGTTTTCATTTTCTTCACGTTCCGCTTTTGGTAGATAAATCTTAAGGTATAACTTAAATAATGAAAAATTAAGTAAAAAGGTATTCTTATGACATAAAAAATATTTCAAAAGAAAATATTTTATATTGTAAATAAAACTATCTTTTCGGATTTTGTCGCGGATTTATTTGTATTTTTGTTTCCCGACGTTTCGAATGCTTTACAGCAATCATGGTACGGGAGAGACTGAGGTGTTACATGTCTTGAAGGTATAGTTGTTACAGACAGCCTACCCACAATTAACAAAATGATTTTTATGCAGATTTATTTAGATTTTTAGTTCGCAACGTTTCGAATGCTTTAGAGCAATCATGATTGCTGTAAAGCATTCGAAACGTCGGGAAACAAAAATACAAATAAATCCGCGACAAAATCCGAAAAGATAGTTTTATTTAAAATGTCAAATATTCGTGTAAATCTAAGAAAGTATTATATTTTATATTGTTTTAAATGCGAATGTTAATTTTTTTTTAGGTCACGTATACACTATAAAAATAGTCAAATCAGATATATTCTTGCTTCAACTTATAAATGAAATATATTTTAATGAGGAGAAAATTACTGAGTTTTATTTTTGAAGTGTTATTAGTGAGTTGATAGAATTGCGTTTATGTTATACTGGATTTATATTTTTGTTTTTGTTCGAGTGAATTTTTTAAGCGTAAATAAACAACGTATTCTACTGTTTATTTACGTTTAGTTTTACTTAATTTACTCGATGTAAGTAAATTCTCGGGGATATTAGATATTGTGGTACTATATACTAGGTTATCTTTAGCTCTAGTAGCTTACATGTACAGTGTACAGCCGCAGATCCAATTCCAGTTACTGGGTTCGAGTCCCGGGTTAGGTCAATTATAAACGTTGGGTTTTTATTTAAAGAATTTTTCAGTGGCAGCCTGGAGCTAATGATTTGATGGTGTTATACCACCATGCCTTAGACAACACGTACACATTTAAAACCTTTTATCTAAACGATCTCTCACCGATCGTGTTGAATTGTCGTTCTATCTGAATTTGATAGTGAAAGGAATACACCGTTTTTGTGTATAATTGCGCACTATTATATCTCCTGTACACATTCAGATTGGCCACAGTCTGAATGAGATTGGCCGCTGTTGCCGATATCGGCCAGATCAATTATTATTTAGATAAATAACTACGTACGTTGCAGGATAATGCTAGTACATACGTAAATATAAAGTATCATATTATTATACATATATCTAATAATAAACCACTTTTGTCAAATTAAGTAAAGTGTGTCAGAAGGTTTTTATCTACTTCTAGTTAGAACTAAACGTGGCCCTGACACCCTCAGGGGACTGGCGTCGACAAAAACGGGAATCGGAGAACAAGCAAACGACAATAATGTGAAGCTACTAATTCTTTAAATGACAGAAAATATTTTGGAATTCAGGAAAATGATATTTTATTACCTTCACGCCCTTGATTAAATTCTTACTCTATCAACTAAGTCACAACATGACTTTTGCAACAGAATAATATACTATGAGCTTTTACTAGAGACTCTATGAGATTTCATTTGCCTATCTGATGATGATGATGTTCTCCTAGCCGATTCCGGCCACGGCGGCCAATCTCAATGAGATTAGCCAACTGCGCAGGAGATATTATAGTGCTCAAGTGTACGCGCAGACACAAGTGCACTCTCTATTCCTATCACTCTCATACTCCGGTGGGACGACCACTCGACACGACCGGTGAGAGTTAAGGCGCAGGACCGACGGCTTTACGTGCTCTCCGAGGCACGGGGGTGAAACACTGCCAACTTCCCAACTCCGGGCTGTTACTGAGACTTTACTATACAGGAAGACTCAATAACTAAACTTGGCCCGACCCGGGACTCGAACCCAGGACCTCCGGGTGTGCAGCCGTACATGCTAGCCACTACACCACCGAGGCAGTTTTGCCTATCTAGTGTCCATAAGTTATCACTTAATTAAAATTAATTAAAAACAGTCAAGTGAACCCACTGTTCTTGTAATGTGTGAATAACAAATAATTAAACATCTTCAAAAGTTTTCACGTCTATACAAATAAATAAAATTGAAGTGTCTGTTTGTAATGTCAGTACAACAGCTTTTCACTAAATGCATATCTGAGCATATAAAATACCTATAAGAAGATAATCCATTTTTAATTTTTTTGTCTATCTGTTTGTTCCGGCGAATCTCCGAAACAGCTGGACCGATTTTGAAGGACGTTCACTGGCTGATAGCTGATGTTTTGGAGTAATTAAGGTTACTTTAATTTTTTTTTTAAATTAGAGTTCAGTGCAAAAGAATTAAACTCCATAAAATTGTGAACAAAATTCTCGTACCTATAGACGCAGCCGAGCGAAGCGAGGGTATATCCCTAGTTTATAATAAATAGTAGGCTATATTATGGCTATTGGGCTTAGCCAGATGTTTTATTAATTTTTTTATTTACGTACATATAAGTTTCCCGTATAGTAAAAGTTCCTTTTCCAATTTAGTAGCAAATATTGTACTACTGAGGCAGTGGTAGCCCAGTGGTAACAAGCTCGCTTGCGAAACTGAGTGAAGCGGGTTCAAATCCCCGGGTCTCGAACCTCTGATATTTTCATGTGCGATTCATTTCTAACATGATTACCACTTGCCTTACGGTGAAGGAAAACATCGTGAGGAAACCCGCACGTCTGAGAGAACCTAGCAAGTTTTCGAAAGACATGTGAAGTCCGCCAACCCGCACTTGGCCAGCGTGGTGGACTACGGCCTGTTCCCCCTCGTATTGAAGGGAGGCCCTTGCCCAACAGTGGGACGTTAAAAAGAAAAAGGGTTGAACACAATACAATTGTACTACTCCAGATGATCAGTAAACGAAAAGTATATAATTCGTTTAATATTTTTGCTATAATACCTGACTTTGCCTTGAAATAAGATCAATAAAACAAGTTTAAAAAGTAAATTGCCTTTATTATGTAAAGATCGTTAAAATAATGATATCATATAAAATAAAATGCTAATATGTTAAAACAAACAATGAGTAATACTGAAGGTTTTCAGTTTCTTAAACTTCGCAACATGTGTTTTCTCCATTCATTACGGTTTTACAAATAAAATTACTCATAGCGTTTGTGTAACTCGATCGGAAAGTTTTAAGTTATAAGAGCTAACGGTTTCAGTTTAAGCATGTTATTTTAAATGAAATTTTTGTTTGTTTGTGTGTATTTCACTCAAAGTGAAATCTATACCTACATATTATAATAAAATTGTAACTAAGCCGAATTTGTACATTAAATACTTTTTGGAAAATCTTATTGAAATAAACATTATTATCGATACAGAGGCTGAATTTATAGTTTTTAGAATGTTTTCTTTATGTCTGTCTGTTACCGCATCACAGAAAGACTACTGGAGGGATTTTGATTAAATTTGGTATGGTGATAACTGGTTATCCGG